CATCACTCCTTCCTGTCTGCAACTAAGTTCCAGGAGTTCAGATTGGTGTTTACCTGTGCATGTCTGCTTCTGCTTCCATCAGCTACTGGTTGAAGGCTCTAGGATGGCATATAAAGTAATTGTAAAACTCATTATCAGGGATGGGAATTTAAGGTAGTGTCTCCTCTATTACATACTTTGCCAGTTGGTGTCATCCTTGTAGACCTCTGGAAATCTCACTAGTGTCAGATCTCCCCTCAAACCTATAGTGACCCCCCTCTACTATGGTATCTCTCACCCTGCTCTCCTTTATTCTTCCCCCAACTCAACCTTCCTGCTTCCCCATGTCCTCCTCTCCCCTCCTCTTCTCCCCCTCTCTTTTACCCAGCTCCCTCTCCCCTCCCCCCATGCTCCCAATCTGCTTAGGATATCCTGTCCCATTCCCATTCTCTGGAGTACCATACATATCTCTCTTAGGGTCCTCCCTGTTTCCCAAACCCTCTGGCAGTGGTATTGTAGGCTGGAACTGCCCTGATTCATGTCTAAAATCTATATATGAGTGAATACATACTACGTTTGTCTTTTTGCGACTGGGATTTTTCACTCAGGATGGTTTCTTCTAATGCAATCCATTTGCCTGCAAATTTCAAGATTCCATTGTCTTTAGCCACTGAGTATTACACCACTGTGTAAACGTACCACATTTTCTCTATTCACTCTTCAGTTGAGGAGCATCTAGGTTGTTTCCAGGTTCTGGTTATTACAAATAATGCTGCTATGAACATAGTGGAACAGATTCCTTATAGTATGAATGCCTCACTTTTGGGTATGTATGCCTAATAGTGAGTGGAATTGTTTGATCTTGTGGTAGACTGATTCCCGTTTTCCTGAGGAATCTCCATACTGATTTCCAAAGTGGCTGTATGAGTTGGAATTCCTACCAGCAGTGTAGGAGTGTCCCCCTTTCTCCACAGCATCTCTAGCATAAACTGTCATTGGTGTTTTTGATTTTAGCCATTCTGACAGGGGTAAGATAGTATTTCAGAGCTGGTTGTTTTTTCCCCTAATGGCTAAGGATGTTGAGCACTTTCTTAAGTGTCTACCAGCCATTTTAGACTCCTCTATTGAGAACTCTCGGGTTCTGTACCCTACGTTTTAGTTGGATCCTTTGGTGTTTTGGAGATCATCCCTCTGTCAAATGCTAGGTTAGTGAATATCTTTTCCCAATCTGTGTGTTGCCTTTTTGTCTTGATAACTGTGTCCTTTGCCTTACAGAAGCTTCTCAGTTTCAGGAGGTCCCGTTTATTAATCTCAGTGTCTGTGCTACTGGTGTTATGTTCAGGAAGCAGTCTCCTGTACCAATTTGTTCAAGGGTACCTCCCACTTTCTCTTCTAAGAGGTTCATTGTGTCTAGATTTATGTTGAGGTCTTTGATCCATTTAGACTTAAGTTTTGTGCATGGCAAAAGACATGGATCTGTCTGCAATCTTCTACATGCCAACATTCAGTTATTCGAGCACCATTTGTTGAAGATGTTTTCTTTTTTCCATTGTATAATTTTAGCTTCTTTGTCAAAAATCAAGTGCTCAAACATGTGTGGGTTAATATCAGTGTTTTCAATTCAATTGGTCTACCTGTCTACTTTTGTGCCAATACCAAGCTGTTTTCAGGACTATAGCTCTATAATAGAGCTTAAAGTCAGGTATGGTAATACCTCCTGAAGTTCCTTTATTGTATAGGGTTGTTTTTTGGCTATCCTGGGCCTTTTGTTTTTCCATATAAAGTTGATTATTGTTCTTTCAAGGTCTGTGAACAATTGTGCCGGAATTTTGATAGGCATTGCATTAAATCTGTAGATTGCTTTTGGCAAGATAACCATGGGAGATATTTCCATTTTCTGGTGTCCAATTAATTTGGTTAAAAACTCAAAGTTCTTGTGATACAGGTCTTTCATTTGTTTGGTTAGCTTTACTCCAAAGTATTTTATGTTGTTTTTGGCAATTGTAAAGGGTCTCTGATTTCTTTCTCAGCCCTTTTATTATCTATATATAGTAGGGCCAAAACACTATAGGAAAAATTAATTGGGAGAGCTTTCATTGTAAGAAACTGATGTTTAAATATATATTGGAAAACTTAAGTGTACTGCCCAATCAGTTGCATTGTGTGTGACATACACACACACATATATACATAGAGAGAGAAGGAAAAGCACTCACCTCTCCTTGTGTGTGCATGTCCAAGAATCTGTCTGCCCATCTGTTGACAAGATCAAAGTGATGAATATAGGCACTCAGCTTGTTTTCTCCTTTGTATTAACTATGACACCTGTGCATGGGACCGTGCTGCTCACATTCAGGTTGGGGTTTCCTGTCCTAGCAATATGCCATAGACACACTCAGAGGTATATATCCATGGAGATTCCCAATTGCATAAGACTGACATTCAAAATTAACTCACAGGACTGGCATTTGTCTGAATCTCTAACCGTCTCTCTGATATTTTCTGCTGTTACTACATCATTTTTAACAGTAGACAAGTGAAAATACTTGCTCTATTTTGTTTGTCACAAAGAGAAGAGTTGTATTTTTATCATTGGTGAAATTATTCCTGATCAAGGTGTTCATTGTTTAACTTTCACCTGCATGCTCAGGTCAAGACAGTATATGAGTATCCCACTGTTCTTTCAATGCAGAAAATTACTTTGGGAAAATGTGAATGTATGAGGTGACCTCAGAAAATAAAGTCTACCTTCACTTTTAAAAAGTGACATTTTAGCTATTTGTAAAGATATGGAACAGAATTATGTCTTTGTAATGCCCTTTAGTTATTCAACCCATCTTTCAGCAGTTAAACTCACAGCCATTCTGCCCTTTTGCAATCAGGAAGCAAAAAATTTATGTCTATGTAGCACCAAAGCCTCTTGGTTATAATCAAGAGGAAAATAAGGTGAACATTTTCATTAGTGCATGTCATGGACATTGTAGAGCAAAGAATCATTACCTACCCTGCCCAATCTGTCTTCCCTGAGGAGTCATCTAAAGCAGGGTGTAGGGGAACATGGACAGGGACACAACTTCAAGTCCCTGAAAGAAGTTTTAAAGTTGGACAAGAAGCATCTCAAAGAATAGACGTGTTTGCCTCATCCCAGCAGCAGACGTGTGTGGAAACAACTGTAAGCCAGAGATACACAATGACTTCATGTCAAGAATAATGCATTCAATTCCAAAACCAAGGTGGTTGATCGAAATCACACCAACAGGTCTGAGGCTTAAGCTCAGGGAAGGTTAGTTAATAAAGTTTTCTACATATTTAATTAATCATGGCCATTAGAGGGCAAAGAATTAAGGATAATGCATCATGTGTCTAGTCCCATTGAACACTTCACAGTCGCAAAAAATCTATATGCGAATTCAAACATTTTGATTCCAGATCACTAAGAAAGAACTTTTCCATTGAAGTTTAAGGCTACCAATTAAAAGTTGTTGGGAAAGAATCAATAGTTGGCTGAACAAAAATTGATCACTATTTCATTAAAGACCACAAAATCACCTTTTAAGCTAACAGATTCATGAATAGATGTCCAAGTTCAATTGTTATTCCTCAAAGGAGTAATATGTAAACTGTCAATCCCTAAACTTGACATGCTGCATAAAATCAGTTATCCTTAACTTTCTACAGATTAAATTGGTATTAAGTTCTGTTACATAGGACATGGCATTCCAGTTCACGGTAGCCTGATGAATATTGATAAGCTCACCAAAATATGCATATTGATATTGTAGTTTTAAAAATTGCGTATCGACAGTCTGCATTGTATTAGAGAAGATTTGTTTCTGAAAATGTGTATTTTACTAATGAAAGAACACATATAGTTTGGTTCCCAGAGCCCAAGTAATGCCTGAAATGGCACATTGTACTTAATTCCATGCATACTATTTTTTCCTGGTCATACTTATGATTACTGTTAGTTCATAAACTAAATACAGTAGCATATAAATTACAAACTAGTCATAAAAAGAAATTATAATAGCATTTTCTGTACTGAAAATTCTATTCTATAAATGTGGTCCATCTCTCTCTGTCTCTCTCTCTCTCATTGTCTTTTTATATTGTCCTCATCTTCTCTTTCCATGTGTCCACATGAGATGAGACAATGCCAATATGATGACATACATGAGCTGAGTGACATTGACACTGAATAGCATTAGAATTTATTAGCATGTGACAATATATTTGGGGGTATCAGTTGATTATGCATCACTGAAAGTAGAGAAAGTCAAACTTCCTATAAGGCAAACATATTTATTTACTGGTGGACACTATGCATTTCATATTATCTCATTTCATTGCGCTGATTGCACAAATAATCTTACATAGTGGCCATTGCCTCTAAAATTTTATAGTTGAAAAAGAGAGCTCAATATTTTATAGTTGATACTGGGTTAGGCTGATATTTAAAACTGCCTTTGTGTAAACCCCAATCTTTGTTGCATATTTAGATTAGAGCCTCCATAGTTCTTTATATTTACGACTTGTCAAATGCCTTCCTGTTATCACTTTGTGATTTGGGAGGCTCAAATGAGAATGTCTCCCATGGGCTCATGTATTTGAATACCTAATTCCCCAATAAGATCATTGGTGGTGTTTGAGGGAGGGTAAAGAGGTATTGTTGCAGAAAGTATGTCACTGCAGTAGTTTTGGAGAGCTTAAGGCCCTTCCTATTCAGTCTGCTCTTGGTTTTTTCTTATATTTGAAGATGTTCACCTTCAGCTTCTGCCCCTGCTGCCATATGGACCCTCATTCCTCTAGTATCCAAACCCCAAATAAACTCTTCCTTCTGTTAGTTTTCCCCAGTCATGATGTTTTAGCACAACAATAGAAAAGTAGTTAATATAGTGGCCTTCCTTTTCACATGGGACTTGCTTTAACCAATGGAATTCTCGAAGTTGTGACACAATCATGGCCAGAACTGAGTCTGCACAGTGAGACCTGGGCTGTTTTCCTTCTGTTGTTGCTGTTAGGTCTTATTTCACCTGGTGTCCTGGTTCCAGATGAAGATGAAAGACATGTGGAGTAGAGCCTTCCCAGATCTGCTGTCCCAAGCAAGGAGGTAAAGAACAGCACTTCTGCCTGCCAGCAAAGTGCAGCTGAGCAAATCCAAGTTCAACCTAGTTCAGCCTATACAAACCGTGTCTGGAATGTGTGCAGATGTGTCTGCTCAAAAGATAAATGAATGCTTTCTATAGGGTGAAGTGTTTTGGTATACCTGCAATCAATTATCAACACAATCCTGCAGTTCCTGTCTCGTAAAAACAAGAAACAAAACAAACAAAAACAAAACAAAAACAAAAAACTGCAGCTCATTCCCCTGCACCATGAAAATGAGGGAATTAAGCAGAATGCATAGGAGAGAAACTTAAGATCAGGTTGAATGAGGGGATAATGGGGTGGGGGAGGGGGGTGGGGGGAGGGTATGGGAGGAGGGGAGGGAATGGGAGAGGGACCTGGAACTGACTTGTGAAGCAACCTCATTTCTTATCTAAATTTAAACTGGAAAAAAAAAAGATCAGGTTGATATGTCTACTATATGGGGACAAAAGAAGTTCAGTATTTATCCTCAGAGGCAAGATTGGTTATATTAATGTGGTTTAAGGATGTCTTCTCCATTTGAAAGCAAGACTTTCTGTTCTAGGTTAGTCTACTGAACATGAGAACAAAGTCAAAGGAAAGAATGCCCTCTGAAGTCCCTTCCAACACAGTGACTCATTGATATACTGATGAAGGTGGGTATCTCACGACACTCCTTAGTCCATCCCTCTTCTGTAAGCACTGATGAAGGAAGCATAATGATGAGCTGGACTCAACCACAGAAGTGTGGATGCTCCACTAAGAATGGGTAAATACCGGTTGATGGCCAAACCTAGCCAACTGTTTATTTTATTGCTGCAAGTAACAGAACACCCTCATATCTATTCATTACACATGGTGAATTGCTTCTTTTGCTCTACAATGAGTCATGCATGGAATTGAAATACTAAGATGTTACAAATATAAACAGATCCATCTAGAAAAATGGTTGCTAATCCTTGCTCAAAATCAGTGGTTCTCCACCTGTGGATAGTAACTCCTTAGAGAGTCATTTCTCTTTCATGGGAAATGGGGAAGGGTCTCCAAAAACCATCAAAGAACACATATTTACATTATGATTGATGACAGTTGAAGAATTGCTGTTATGAAGCAGAAAAGAGGATAATTTTATGGATGGGGGTCATGAGGAACTGTATGAAAGGGTTGCAGCATTAGGAAGGTTGAGAAGCACTGCCTTAAATGCTGTGAATAGGGGTATGGCTTATGACTTAGAAAGGAGTAGGAAAGTATGGCTGTATCAAGAGAAGGTAGGATGCAGGTAACATTGCAGTTTGGGTTGTATTTGTAGTAAATATACATTAAAATGGGAAAGGAAACATGAATTCTGGGACTTTTCACTTACTCACCATTTGAGATTTGAGGTCATTGGTCCTGTCATTTGCTGGCTTCAGAATACTGTTTAATAGCTACCTTACCTTAATAAAACCTTATTTTGATACAGGGTATTTTACAAAATGAATGCCATCTGAAAATTTTTAAGTTGATTTGTTTGTAGAAATTGGAGAGACAAGAAAAATGAGAAATTCTTGAAAGTTAGCCAAGCCTGAATTTATTTTGTATAAAATATCTGGTATGTGTATATCACCATGCATTTTTAAAGCAATTTATTATTCTTCTAAAAGATAATTAGACAATCTCTCTATATGTGATATAGATAGATAGATGTAGATAATACATGTGATAGTCTGTATACATCCTGTGTGTGTTTAAATACATTTTTCATATTTCCCATTGTGTGTGTGTGTGCGCGTGCGCACGTGCGTGTGTGCACGAGCACATACACAAACATGTACTTAAAAGGTATTTTTTAGCCTTTGTCCCAATAGTTAATATATTTGGGTCTAAAATAGAATACATACACTGCTATAGAGCATATATTATCTGTTGTGTGCATCCCCTAGCTCTGGCACATCTCAAAGAGTCAAGTAATTGCTGTCCTCATTTTAAAGTTTGTCTAGTTCTTACCATTCAGATTACAGTGGTGGCTGCTTCCCCAATCCATTTGCTTGTTCTTTGTCTGTTTTCACACTCCTACAAGCTGTGTAATCACGCATTCTTTCTCATTTATCACAGCCTTTCCCGGTCCTGACTACACTATCTCCCCATTTTTGTCATGGTGCACTGGTACATTACAAATACAATTAAGCCTCTTAGGATACATCAGCTTTTGGCCAACAGAGCCCAGCTTCAAGGTTGAAAGATTTCTGATATTACCTCTGATATCAGTTCTTCCCCATTTATCGGCAGTGTCCGGACTAATGCAGCAGTGTTGCATTAATTAAAGGAAGCATCTAGTAATACTGCTGTTTTTGCTGGGCTGACACAGAATCAGGAGGCTGATGCCTGCTCATGTTTTAAGAACCATTTATCACCCATGTCATCCCAAAGCAGCCAGCTGTCTGAGCCAAGCTTCATTTGCATTTCATCAGCCACAGCCTCTTTTTTCCCCATCTCACTCCCATGTCTTTGTATAGCAGCTTTAATTTTTTAAAGCACATTTTCAAAGAAATCGCTCAGCTAAAATTAGTATGCTATGTAGAAAGATGATTTGAATACCAGACATACAGCTTCAACTGATGAGGGCCAAAATAGGTCTGAGAAATTAAGCTTTGGTTTTGTTCCTTCCCTCTCCTTCGGTGAACTGGTGGAGTGATGATGAGGGCTGCAGTCACTATCCAACTCCCTACTCCTGCTCATGAATTTCATCTGTATGTGCACCATCCAAACGCAGGCATTAAGTTTCCCTTTCACTCCTTGGTTGTGAAAATGGTTTATTAGAGTAACAAGTGAAGTGTATTTGATTTATTTGCACCATTCATTCTGCACTTGGCCCACTATCCTTCCTACTCCATCCCCACATTCTATACCCACCTCCATCTATCAAAGCTTTTGTAGATGTGTTTTGGCAGTAGATCAAATTTCCCAATGCAGGGGAAAATCAACTTATGGAGCTGTGTAATTTGAAACTCTTTTGAAATGAAATTTGCATTTGCTTTTATAATCTCAAAGCATGGTAAAAATGGCTATTCATATGTGCACTCTTTGATTATGTCACTCCCTTTCCATACAAATCTCAGTTACTCTAGAGAAAACTTAAACCTTCCGTTTCAAACTATAAGTAATAACTGACTATGAATCATCTTCGTAGTAAATCTTTTAGATGTTTAAAAGTGGCAGGGGACTTGTGAGTATAGAGCAAGTGTGAAAAGGATATCTACTCAATTCCATGGACTTTGTGTGTCCTCATGTTTTGCCTAAACCAGATCTCTGGAGATCACTTTTAGGGTCAATTATTCTGTTTTATGTCTTGTTGCTTAACCCAGATGGTCAGTAACAGTGGACACCTGTCTCCCATTGAGACCATTTGAGAAAGGTAATTTAACAGGCTTTCCTGATAAAGCTCTTCAGTAACTATGGGGGTAGTTTCAGATTCCATTCAGTGACCTAGAAACTTGGAAGCTCTGCGTCTCTATCTAATCCCTCTGGATTTCTCATCTCAGTAGTTAATTATTTCAACAAGTTTTCTCCCAAAGAAAGCGATTTTTTGAAATTCCTATTAAACTGGGCAGAAAAAGTAGTAAATTCAGTTTCTATCCAGAGCACATTTTAAGATGCATATCATTTTAAAGTGTAATTACCAATGAATCATTTTGAGCAACCCACACATACTTCCTAACAAACTCAATACAAGTTTGATTAGTAGGATAAGTATTAATGATTATTGGTGTGTGGTGGATAATCTTGCTGATCCATTATCAAGTCACCATGCATTTCTACAGTAATAAAATATGTGTGAGTAGGGAAAGATTTGCTGCCTGTAATCATGTTTAAATCAACCAGAATACCCTAAATTATTACAAGAATAATATGTGTTTGTTTTCCACTTATTTGAAAACTTTCTTTCTTCAAAGGTAAATGTTTTCATTCTGTACTATGTTTGATACAATTTCTTTTCTAATATTCAAAAGACATTAATTATTTCACACCTTTACACATTTTGTGCTCATGACTTTATTTCCTACCCATTTTGCTTTTGATTTATGAAATAAGATTGTCATGTTTTAAGGGATTTTTCCCGTTTCATCCTTGTGAATGCAAGTCTCCACTTATATTGCAGCTCTTCTTGCCAAATCCATGATTATTAAATCATGTTCACACCTTATTAGCTACTTTCTTAATAAAATTTTTGTAAATTTTTTCTTTGTGATTATTTTAATTTGATTTCATAATCTTACAAAATCATTGGAATATCATGGTTTTTGAAAGAATCAAGTCAATGCTACTGACATTTACAGAAGTTGCTTTATTGAAACCAATTTATTTAGTTTCTGAGTAGGTATGTTCCTCTTTTGAAAGTTAAACAATTGTCCCTTAATAACAGGATGTGATGTTTTAAACATATTGTGGTTATGTATATAAAGCAGTGTTTTGAGATAAAAATTTGATTTTAGAATAGGTTTTGATATATAATATTGTACAAAATATCCCTACGAATCTCAGACCCAATTCTGTCTCTGTAATCTCTTACAAAGGTAATATTCCTTGAACAGAACTAAAATCCCGATACTATATTATTTAAAATTGATACATTATTCAGATTTTCTTTATTTATGTAATGTCATTTTAATGTGGGAAATATTTGTGGGATATTCCTGCAGGTTGAAAACTTCCTACAAAGAGAATGGAAAGGACAGTGACAATTCCAATGACAGCACCTCCTCTACTTTCATATCCTGACCAAAAGCAATCTTGAGTAAGGCAGGGTTTATTTGGCAGTGATACTGAGAGAAACCAAAGCAAGAACTTGGAGGCAGGCGTTACCTACAACCAAAGAAGAGTGGTAGGAACCATAGAGGATGCTGCTTGCTGGTTGGACCACAGGCACATCCTGAGCTAATTTCTTGTACAGTTCAGGATCTCCTGACTGGAGAATGGTGCTACCAACAGTGGGTTGGGCCATCCTACATCAACCGAACAACAATGCACTCCCTCATAGGCTAATTGGATCTGAAGAATTCCTCAACTGAGTTTCTCTTCCCAATTACTTCTAGAATGTGTCAGATCGACAGTTAAAAAACCAGGACAGCCCCTAATATCTCAGCTGTAACTACTGTATTTATAGTAATAAATTATGACATTATTCAAATTTGTTAACCATATGATCTTAAACGAAGTTATGCTGGATATTAAAACTATAATGCCTTTAGATAAAAGTAAGTAAAGCCACAATGACTTTTCTCATTAATTGTGTAGGATTAGACTAAATTCTGAAGATAAAATTCATCCTTAGTGTACAATTTGGAACATAGTATGTTCCCAATAAAGGTTGGCTATTTTAAGTTATTACTACTTTCTGAGACTATGAAATACAAGTATCACCTGACTAATCAGGGTATTCACTGGACAAGAACAGGGCACACTGGACAAGAACAGGGCACATAGCTCCGCAGCAAACAGTTACTTATGCACAAAGCCATGGCTCAATTCCTAATTGTACACACACACACACACACACACACACACACACACACACACACACACGAGAGAGAGCAGAACCCAATCATCCCCCTTTTCCTTCTTTGGTTTTAAGACGAGGTTTCAATACGTCTTCAAACTCATGACCCTCCTATTTTTATCATACTCAGTGTTGGGAAGAGATTGACACATCACATGCCTACCAAACAGGTGACCTTTGTTATAGGGAATGCTTGATCTAGCAAATAGCCCATTGGGTACTGCACAGTGAAGGCTGAGTAAAAGAACCAAAGTCTTTGTCCATCGGTTTGTTAATTGTCCTTGAGTTACTTATTTTAAAAAAATGGTTTTCAGTGTTTTAGTTACCATTTCCAAAACAGCTGGGAATTACTGAGGAATTAAAACTTAAAATTTTGTTGCAATATGGAAGTGATTATTATTTCAGTAATCACGTTGTAAGACATGTGTGCAGAGGGGAACAGAGTTCCAGAATTCTCAAAACTTAACTTGCAGGGACTAATCCTTAATCTTCCTTTCATCAGATTTGTGTCATAAAATCTCATTCTTGAGTTTCACTTTCTTTTATACTTGTTGTTGAGAAAATATAAGAAGAAAGAGATATAAAAGGTAAATAAAAGGAGTTTTCAAAGGTACTGTGATAATACAAACAGACTGCAAATATGAACAGATAGAAGTGAACCTTTGAAAAAATTCAAATAGCTGCTATCATTCTAACCCACATAAACCACACAGTCATATGTGGAGGGGAGATTGGGCAGCATTTCCTAGATTGGAGATATTTTTCTAACAGAAGGTTTTCACTGTTTCCACATTTAGAAAAGAAGATCTGAAAATTTAAAAATGCTTGTACATCCATCCTGAGATAAATGCTGCTATCTGTTCAGAGATAGATGTCTCTTCCTACCTGGCTTTGTGTTCTGAGGATTGTTACAATGTTTCATAGAACATCCGACAAGAGAGTGAACCTAGCTGCCCTGTGCTATAGGAAACTGCCCTGCTAGGGGAAAAGAAGAGCCCATTGCTTCCCAGAAGGGTTGAATATAATCAAATTCTGGGTAGGCTTATTGTATTTTCAAGCAGCATATTTATAGCTATAAAAGAAAGACATTATTAAAATCTGTATAGTTAAACTCAGTTGCAATTGTAACTGGGAATTTCTTGGAGCTGTAAGTTGGTTTGAAGTAGGTAAGGTCCTGCAAGGTGCTGTGTTCTGTTAAGGACTAGACTCTTCTTTAGCAAGAAGAAGGTGCTTTGATTAAGCTGTACTGTGAGGTCTGTCTTATTCTAATATGCATAGCCCTTTGCTGATATTTTCTAGGATATCGTAGTAGAAGAAGCAGCATCACTCCTGTCCCTAGGGTAGCACATATTCAATCAATGTCTGAAATATTATCAATTGGACACTGCATTACTGCTGTTATTGAAAACAAAAAAAGGAGAAGCTATTTGGAGACAAAAAAGGAATTCAGGAGCATTAGGCATCACACCCAGAGGTAATTGCTACTTGCATACATTAAAATAATTAGAATTTAATCAAATTTTGAAATTTATGGGGTTTCTAATGGATAAGATTAACCTAAAATATGAATTTGCCCACACATGCTTGAGAAATAAAGAACATAAAATGTCATAGTAGTAATCAGAGAGTGACTTCCATGCTTTACAGTTCTGATCCACTTATCTGTCTATCATTTTAGTGTGGTTAGGTTGCTCAGTGGTCAGAACTTCAACTATTACGTTATCCAGAGAACAGTCTATGCTCAGTCAATGATCTATGTGCAGTGAACTTTGGTTTTTCCCCTCCCCTGTGTACACCATTTAAAAGTCCTCATCTGGAGTTTTAATCACATATAACCTTTTCCTTTTGCATGCTGAGATCTTAGACACAAACCTAACTTATTCCCATGTATTTGATGTATAGAATGATATACAGAGGGCCAGCCACTAAAGTACCTCACTGTGGGTCTGAATCAAGAAGATCAACAATTTGATTATTTTTCTTCATGCCAATTTACGTTAATTTTGTTAACTGATGTATTATTTTTAATTATAAACCAAAAAACCCATTGACTTAATAGGGAAGTATAAAATTGAAAGTGCAAAAATTATTGAACCAGACCATACAAAAGCAACAAGGTAAACAAATTGTACTGCAATGTTTATATAAGTAATTGAAAAAGATTAGCTCACATTTCTTTATTTCTTATTCATTGTTGGTTCAGTGAAGGCAGATCCTAGCTCTTGAGTTCAGTCTGAAATTTCATGGATACTGAATGGTGGAAACCATGGCTTGAGAGAGAATGCATACTGAGAGACACAAATCTGAGGAAGCCTGCTGGTACATCAAATTCAGCACAATTTTAAGGATTTTTAACATAAGTGGATGTGAACTAGCATATGGACTAAGTTTCTTATGGATTTCAAAATATAAGGGAAAAGGATCATTTGGTCAATATGTTTTCACTTTTGAAAACTTTCCAAATGTTAAAAAAATAGTCCAGAAAAATCAAATCCAGGTTTTCCCATAGTCACTGTCGGATGATGAAAAGAACTAGAATTAAGGCAAAATGGGTGGAGACATAGTACATATGTTGTGAGAAAACTCTGTGGATATTCCCAAGATTGGCTAATGATTCAATTTGGTCCTCATGGCAACTTAACCAAAAGAATCTAACACTTCTATTTTTAGCTATGTGTTTATGGATAATATTAGTCTGTTATAAAATGATCCCATGACCACTCCAGCAATAGAAAATGATAGAAATATAAGACACATAATCTACCTTAGTTTCAAGTCCTCCTCATATCTGTGGAAAAGAAGATTTTGAAGGTGTGAGCATGTAGCTGAATTATTTCATGATGCATCAGTTTCAGCAATTTGTACATAGATGAAGCAGGGAGAACATTTGGCATCTATATCACAAACACACTCTAGATTCCCTCATGGCATCTGAAAACTATGCTATATGACTATGCACATTTAAAACAATACTATAACATTAAACTCTGTCAAAGAAGTATTTCAATATACTTAAAACAAGAAGGATATTTCTAACTTAAGAGGACATGAAGCCAGGAGGGTGGGATGTTGGGTGAGTCCTCAATGAAGAATAAAGAGTATTGAGTAAAGAGTAAAGAGTATGGAGTGTGTGTGTGTGTGTGTGTGTGTGTGTGTGTGTGTAATAGAGATACATTTCACACAAGCTTGAATTCTCTACTTAATAAACTAAATTTTAAAAACTTAAGCACTCAGAAGACTGAGGCAGGGAATCACAGTAAGTTCAAGTCCAGATTGATCAATAAAGTGAGTTCTAGACTTGTTGGGGTAACATATTGAGATATTGTTTTGAAAAAACAAATTAAATAGAAATCTACATTTAGATCATTAGCTATGAGTAGTTTTCTCAAAATCATGAAACAAACATATTTCTATTTATGCATTCAGTGAATCTTTGAATATGCATATGAAAAATATTTCTACAATGTTATATTGAGTGATTTTCCACACATGCATTTGGTGGTTACATAGAAACTGAAGAAGTGTATCATGTAAAGTACAGTTACTATAACTTGGAGAGTTGGGGGAAGAGAGGAAAATTCAGCCAAACAAAAGTATCTTTTCTAATAGTAACCTTGGCTTCAATCACATTTACCTTTGCTTTATAATATATTAATTGCCCATCACCTATCTTGATTGAGAAATTCTAGGCAGTTGAGTATATTAGTATATTAATAATATTAATAAACAACTAATCACTACTTTCTCTGGTCTTGTATAGATGTGAAAGTATCTTCCAAAGCTAACTTCTCTTTTTCATTAGACTCTCACTACATTTTCCTGATTTTGAATACCAAACATGGCAAATCCATTTTAATGATTTTTCTTTAGCTAAACACCACTAACAACATGATTTTCATTACTCTAAACCATGAGGTTTCTCTTAAGGAAATTTCAGTAGTCATTTCTCTTTCAGTAGTCATTTTTCTGGTTCTAAAAACTGAAATCAATTCTTAGAGTGTTTTTAGGGCCTCAAAGTCAGTATGATCACTAATAAATTTAGTTACGATTTTCTTTACCAAAACCCACTCCACATATTTCTAGCCATTCTGTACTATGCATCATATGTATAGGAGAGTGCATACATATATAACCTGGAAACAGAAGGGAGGTTGGGAAAGGAAGGAGACTAGGAAAAAATAAAGGAGAAGGGAGAAAATATGGAGATGAAGATAGTTAAACCATACAATCCATTAATAAGAAATCATTTATGAAACTCACTGCTATGTACACTGACTGTATACTAATGAAAATGAGGGCATGCAAGGCTATTAATTTTTCAGCATAGTGGTGATTTGGTTTAACAGCACCATGTGTGTGGCTGTTCCATGGTCCTCCTTCAACATACTAGATTAAAATTCTGGCTTGAAACCAAGATGGTGGTTTTCTCCTCAGTCAGCATTCATGTACAGACAAGAATGGTGGTTGCTTCATCGGTGTTCTGTTTGGCTTCATCTGGATCAGTGTGAGTACAGCTAGGAAATGCATTCCACGGTGGCAAAGTGCTGCTGGGATTCGCATGCATTTCACCACTGAGTCCCTCTTACAAATATACTTCTGCATCTTCACTTGACTTTCTTGCACCTGGAAGCTAGGTTTCCAAAGCAAGTCTCTAGAAATTCAGGGAGCAGATACTGCCAATTTCACTTGTAAAGGAGCACACTGTAAGTTTTGCTATTTCTTAGTCAAAGCAGAGATCTGCTACACATAAAGAAAAGAGCATCTGATTTCATAACTAGCGTCACAAGGATGCTTGAGAATGATTCAGTGACTATTTAACTTCTTGCATTTTCCCATTCTTATGTGCCTGTTCCTTTGTAACACTTCTTAGAAGGCCCTTCTACTGTGTTTAAATACAAAGGCCTATTCATCTACATCATGAAACAGGTCATGCTGTCTTACTAGAAACCCAGAGTTGTAATGTTCTTTTTTTCTTAATTACTTTACTCTCACTAATCATTGTCTACTTCACTGAAGTGTTGAGTAGACTTTGTGTTTATTGTGGTTAGGAATCGTATGTCATTCTGTAAGTGCCTTTAAATCAAAGGAATGATGCAACATCTTCAGCTGGGATGCTGAGAAAGAGAGTGACAGAAAAATGGTGCATAAATGAGGCCATCTCCCAATTCCTTTCTGTGAATTAATGTTGATTCATGAGGAAAATACTCTCTATTTTTAGACCCCTAAACTTTAGAGTAATATATTGCACTAGAAAGTCATCAGAACAACCAACAACTCAGGTATCTTCACTTACAGAAACACCCCGAAGCAGGATTCCTGCTATCTCTTTAATAGCAATGACTTGGTTGGGCAATTCTCTCCTCTTTCACTGTTTAGAAGGTTATCAATATCTATGTGAAATATGGAGGAAAGACAATGTCTTTCAGATGCATTTAGTTGTGTGTAAACTGTCAACCAATGGCATAATCGTTTCTAGCCCTTGTCAAATGAAGCTGCATATGAAGTCATTGGGGGAATAGCTAGTCTTCTCATCCCCTCCATTGATTTAATGCACATGCAATTCTCTATCAATACTAGCCCAACACAGGTGATGCCATGCTACCCTAGGACTGATAAGTGCCCATTATCACAGGTGAAAAAAATTCAAGACATGGTAAAGGGCAAATATGACTATAGAATCTGTGGGACACCAAATTCCAACAGTCACTTGGTATCAATGATAAGCAGCCATTTTGTCACTGTTACCCAAGCTACTGTAATAGGAAACTTAAATTTAATAGCTGGGAGAAGCCAAGGATACATGGTGGGGGATGGGTTAGGTTTTTGTGAGTACAGGAACAAGAGTAGACAGAAGCACAGAAATGATTGTGCTTTCCCTATTTACCTTAAACCTATGCCAAATACATTCAATTATACACTTGAAATACGATCCGCACTGAATATTATCTTTGTTGTAAGTGAAATGATTCTAAATTATTAAAAGTCAAGCACCATTCCTTTCAATTCTATATATTCTCAATGTACAGTCTATTCATTGATAGTCTTTTGAATCTTCATCTCTGTGTGTATTTATATCTATTCTGAAAAATACAAAGAACAAAATGGGAGAACTATTACTTGAAAATATGCTGACTTTGTATGAACACTGCAAAACATGGTGTATGAAATAAGAGAGTGCTTGCACAAGCCAGAAAGCTTTAGACACACTGGTATATATGCTTTATCCCCAAATTCCACACTTTTCTATACAGGAATTAATCTAGTGGATCTATTTCCATTTTAATGTCCTTCAGTCTCTCTTCTATAAATAATGGTATGTTTCCTTAAATGAATTAACACAGTCCTAGGAAACTTTTCCCTGAATCCCTGATCCAGAGGGATGTTTGAGATTCAGTACAGTCAGTGGCTAAAAATAAATGGGATGGAGCATGGCAAATATAACCATGAGCAACTGATTAATTGCAAGTGATACTG